TCATGCACGGGTGTTTAACAGGGAAAAAGACGACGTCAAGAGGTGGGGTTTGCGTAGTGAGTCCTCACGGTCTTATCTCCTACAGGTGCTGTTCCAAACCTTTGTTCTGGACCAATACCCTGCTATTCGCCGACTGATTCCAGGTAGATTTCTGTCCGCCTAGTCGTGTACCCCTGTCACTAGCTCACACACACAACCGGTGTGCCAAGGAAGGACTTGATACTAACTTGGGAAATTGCTTTAGTTGACCAAAGGAGAAATCAACAGTTTAACACAAGCCATCGCCATCTGGTGAAGAAGATAGATGTGCGAGCTTCCCAAGTGAGATACAACAACAAGATCAACCACTACTGATCCGACAAAAAACCGCACTATGTGTCTTAACTTTTTTCCGACCTCTCTAATAATAAGGGGCGCTGTCTAGTCGGGCCGAAACCAGCATACTGGTTCTAGTAAGCAACCACTCTTTCTTATAAGTACTTAGGCGGGCCGTGACAAAAGCACACCCTGAAATACTCGATTGTCCCAAGGTTACAAATTAATTTCACGGGTTAAGGCAGCAGTCATTTTCTGTTCCCGAACTAGACCACGATCCTCCGAACAAACAGTAGAAGAAGTATTAAAGTGTTATCATTGGACCTAACCGTCTATTCATTCCGGGACCCTTAAGAAGGCCTCAAATTGATTAAAACTAACCAGATACGTCAACTCGGTTGCTAACAAAGACTGATCCGACATAAGAGCCATGTCACAATTCCAGGTGCTGATGCACTCGACGTTTTAGCCGTGATCCAGTGGATCACTGAATGCCTCACGTCAGACTTTTTTACTGTCCCAGCTGCTGGGCTCGCCCGTTGTCGACCAAGATCCAAAATAGACAGTCATGTAAGAGTGGTATACACCGGTGCTTACAAGGCGGATGCCCACTTGATTGCGTTTCCAGGTATAAGACGGCAGCAGGTGGTCGCTGACGACGTCCATCAGACTAGAAAGGACCGCTAGAATGTCCAATGACTGCCCATACAGTCAGTATGCTTACGATGTGGTTGCTGGCCACCTTACTAAAAAGAAAGAGACTAATTTTCAGTTTCTGAGGGATGGTTTGGAGCATATCTCTGTTTGGTTACTGGAAAATGGCCTTTAAGTTAATAAGCAGAAACCGGGCCAGCGTGTATTTCTGCCCGGAATAACTGGGCTGTCTTCTCAAAGTAAGTATCATCTTTCCGGTACCTGAATGTTACTCTGTCCTCAAATCCATCATTCTCCCTTTGTATTGAAATTGTCTTTACTAAGGCGTAAAATTGTTGGTTGCATTCGTCGTTTGCGCCGCTATCACGTCCTTTGGCCCCTATTGTGGGAATTTATAGATGTCTGCATTCTTTCTCTCATTCTTTATTGCACCCCGGTTATTTCTCCTACCTTGCTTAAAAAAGCTATACTAGTTTCAAAGCGCGTCCTTCGAATGCTGTCTTCTGCTGTTGGTGTTTTTTGTGTTTTTTACTTGATGTCATAATACAAAGACACTTCACAAACGTCAAACAATTTTGGATTGAATTCTGAATGCAGTTGACCATCCCCTACACTCTGACTTAATTGCTGCGAGCTCTTACTGTCCCATGCGCAGTGGCTTCCTGCATATCACCATTCCGTGCCTCGTTTAATTTACGAGGAAATTGATGCGCGAACTTGGAGTAAATCCTTCGCAACAGACCTTTTCAGGCACGGTCCGAAATTCGATATGAATATTTGGACTGAAATCCATCAGGTACAGCGGAATAACCGTATAATATTCACAAACCGCCAACAGGCAGCCAATAGTATAGAAATGTGTAATTATTTGCCGTACGTTTATTTCGCCGTAGCTGATGGAT